CTCTTTATTCTTATAACTTATATATAAATGCACTATCATCCCCTTGAATCTCCTGTCAACTTTCGAATCATTCTGCTGTTTTATACAGATGGGCAACCAAAACCGGTGCATGAAAGTGCATGGTTAATGGTTGTAAGAACTGAACTGAACTGAACGGTTATACAAACTGAACCGAGCTGATTAAGTCATAATCATCATCATCAACGTACAGCGAAATACAGGGAAGCGGACTTTACCGATCGCTATCAAACTCGCAATGCATATGCATTGGGGTTTGATGGGCGGGTACTGCCAGGGTGTCCAGCCACTAATCCGGAAAAAGGTTAGGGTTCTCGTTCAAAGCCTTCAGTTCTGACGAGAACCTAATCGCAAGGCAGCGGGCGAAGCAAAGCGGAGGCCCATTTATTTGGATTAATTACTCCACTATTTTTACCGACTGAAACGCAAATTCTAGTCGTACCAGCAAACTGGAGGATCAGGAGACTGGACTTCGTTCGACCTCTACCCTTCGACCTTCCAGGCATGATCAGATTTTCAGCTTGACAAAAGCCATCCTGTGTAGCTCGCTGAGTCAGAGAGGTGCACAAACCATCATACGTCGGTGTGCAGTCTCATTTTACGGCGCTGCGAGATTATAAAAGATCAATGGCTATCTTTCTACGTTTTGACTGTTTTGAATAGAACACAGTGTAGCGAACAATACCTCATTTCAGTGATTCGTATTTTTTGACTGATACATCACAGTTTACATAACCGGGTTAAAATACGGGAGGGCGGAGATATCACTTACAAAAAATGAACAAATTAATAAACTTGAAAGAATACAGATAATGCTTTCGGTGGTGTTCAGTCCGGATTTGCCAAAAATCCCACGAATTCGGCAGAGAATAGGGAAGTTCGCTTCATTGCAGTTCGCCGTATGATGATGGTGAGAGTGGAACGTGGTGGAGACTGGATACTCAAGCCCCCACGAGAGCATGACAGTCTACCCACCCAGGTGCTAGCCCGATCAGGTACTCCATAACAGCTGACTTGTACCTCCCAACAAGACAAAGACAAGCGCTTTACTTTGGGGGGGAAAAGAAGAATCCGAACACTGGTCGGAGGAATTGAGGATGGTCGCTTGGTCGGAGCCGAGCCGAGTATTTTGAGCCAGACAAAAAGTGATTATCCTGCTAACACCGGGTACCGGTATTCTACAGCAAAATGACTGTCGTTGTAGCGTTTTGATTTTCTGGACTTGAACCTTAGTCATTATTCACAAATACTATTTAAAATACCTATTGGTTTAACGCTATTGATTCGCGGGCATTCATTAGCCCTCCGGCAAATGCAGAGAGGAAATGGGTTAAGTCCGGTCGATCGCACGGTTGTGCATGCATTTGAGTTTGACGAACGGATAGTGCCAGGGTGTCCAGCCATTAGGCAGAACGATTAGGGTTCTCGTCCAAAGCCTTTAGTTCTGACAAGAACCTGACCGCAAGGCAGCGGGTAAAGCGAAGTAGAGACACATTAACTCGGATCAATTACTCCTCTACCATTTTACCGATTGAGACACTAACTCGAGTCGAACCCCCAACCTGACAGTTATCATTTTTCCCTATACTCTGTACCCACCCACCCCCCGCTCGTTATTGTTAATATTGTTATGGCGTTGGCACCAAGCTTGATCTCAAGCCGGTGTTATATATATATATATATATATATCGCTCGTTGGGTCAGAGATGTGCACAAGCCATCACACCACGTTAAGGTGAAATCTCGTCGTGATGGTGGCGATATCCTACGTAAAGAACAACAAAGGTGTCGTTTTTCTAGCGTTTTAGTAGCTTATTGGTAGTAATTCAGTTAAAAAAGACACAGGGTTATGTAAAGTTATAGCGAAAACCACTATTTTCTAGTATATTAGCAGAGGTAAAGCGTCAATTTAGTAGTCGAACACTAGTCTTTTTGCTGCCAAGAGGTAGGCCGTCGTGTGCTTAGGAGTCTATCAGGTATAAACCTGCTGGCACACCGAATTCAGATTAGTAGACTTTGCTGGCTAGGGCACGTATTGCACACGCCCAGTCATCGTCTGCCGCACTGCGCCTTATTCGCTGTATCTAATTCGGGAAGGTGGAAACCGCGTGAAGTCAACAGATGACGTGGAGGCGACGCATGAAGAAATGCACAGAGCCATTAGGTAGAGGTGTCTCGTATCTTCCAACTTGGGGTCGGAAAGACTCCACAACTGGTTGGTTGGAGACATTGAAGGATGTGGCAGCGAACCGGCAGCAGTGGCGTTCTTGTTGTCGTTTCTTACCAGATCAGGATGCTTGAAACGGTATGTAGGCAGAGTTCGATTGTGCACTGAGTTGACCAGATGTTCACCTTCTTCCCCTCCCTCAGCCCACCTTAAATTTTACAACAGTGTATGCATTGCGAGTTTGGCACCAATCAATGGAGTTCGCCCCACTGTATTTCGATGTACGATTATGATGATTTTTTCTGCCTGGGTAGCGGAACAGCAAACCCGTTCTCGTACTAAAATAACAAGAGTTCACCGGCTTAAAACTAATCCAAGACGAAGCAAAGCTTTCGATGCATTTAGTAATATATGATTGTCAACAGGCCTGTATCACTCGAATTCTGCACACATGGTACAAAATATTTTTCAGGAAGCAATTATTGTTATACATTGTCAAACCTCAGAGTAACATGCCTGCAGACAAGTTGGGCAGTTGGCTTGAACGCGATATTGACGCGTATATACATATATATACACTCGATAAAATGTATAGAATTTCTCACCACGGACTCTATAGAATCCGTATATGTTTTACTAGTAAGACTTGATACATGAGGAAAAACCAAGAAACAATTGTGGTTGATAATCCTGAAGTGATGGAATTAGACGTTCGTATAATGATAGAACGAATAAACTGAGGGGGGAAAACGAGGTCTTTATGACTCACCCTTTTTCTCCGGTTTTAACTTCCCACGAGATCCTACAACTTTCAACTTTTCAGGACACTGTATCGGACAAACATTCGACGGATCAATCTTATCGTCTCCAATGATTTCTTCGCGTACATCCAGGAGATCATTGGAGTCCATCAAGAAAAGTGCCCCATAGGAATCACTACCGCACATCTCAGAGTAAGCTTCCACGTTGTCAAAAGGAATTTCGGGATTGAGATCATTTTGGCCATCACATGTGGTCACAAACTCTCCATTAAAATCAGTTTTAAGAACGGAATCCTCAAAAAAAGGACCAATCATAACTTCGCCGACGTCATTCAGGAAACCCGCCCGTTGCGACCTCGATCCGATAAAACAAAACAATCCAACGCAATCCAATTAATACCGATTTTCCAGAACATAGAGGTCGCTGTCTTATGGTTGTCCTGATTCTGGATCGATCTTCCCAAGTCCAGCTCAGTCCAGTACTCATAGGACGAATAATGGCAATTCAAGTCAGGTCAGGACGGGTACACAGGATCTGCGGCTGTTGCCAATAGGTTCAGTTGTGAGCAGTTGTGAGCTCTCATGCGATCACATTATTCTTCGACTGCAGGAGACTTTCTTGGAGGACGATCAAACTGGGATGCAAACGGGATGTTGGAGTTTTCAATCGGTAATAGCAGTAGGCCAGAGTCAAATTTCAGGATGTGAGGAGATCTTTATTTGTGAAGTTTCCTGGTAGTGAAGTCCTGTCCTGGGACTGACTCGCCTGCGAGTTGGTACTGTTATCGGTTTGACCGTTCCGGAGTTATCTAGAATTAGACAAAGAAAAAAGAGTTTGCGCAGCCTACGGTTGAAGTCTAAAAGTATGAAGTAGTACTCGTATTCTAGGCTTGCGCCAAATATTCCCGGTTTTAGATTTGTCTTCTTTTCTGTAGTTCAATGCACGAGCTGAAAGGGATGTTGACGGAAATTGGGAGCTGGCTCCAATATGGTGCCGCTGGGTTAAGGGTGCACCCAGGCAGCACAGTTACCGTAGAGTCACCAGAGGGCAAGTCATCAAATTACAGAATTTTCAAAAATAACTGTCGTAAAATCGGTTACTAGGCGTTAAAATACTTTAAAAGTATAATTTCTTACTTTCCATTTTTCATTCTTTGTTGAAAGGCAACCAAAAAGATGTTCCGAAAATAAGTATTCTCAAATAACCTCATTTTTATCAATTCTTACACTCTATTATAATCTTTCTGCCTGATCATTGTAGTTGATTACCCCCGGTTAATTCCATGGTGTTATAACGATATGTAAACTCGGAATGGATTTTTTTCAATTTTTTTTAAATAAGGTGCTTACGGTCGCTCAAAGTCTTAGACCTATCCATATTTTTGCTCTGTCCTTGTCCGCTGGCGGTGAGATTTTTCCGTAGTATTTTTTCCCAGGACTATGAACGTGATAGGCTGAATGAGTTCCTCACCTTTTAGTAATTAATTGTTATAATTGTCAATTATCCTTTTAGCTTTCATTGTACAATGAAAAGGTGCATTAAGTGCATTCCGGGTTTTTCGCGTCTGCTAAATGCAAGCGTTCTAAGGAGTCTCTACAGCGCATTCTGACCCTTCAACCTCGAGTGCAGCAGCTGCTTCTAACGTACACGACACATCTTCTGAAGGTAAAGTGAGAGAAATATCAAACCAAACAGTACGTATATATATATTTTTAGGTTCAACTTCCGATGAGTCTTCTAGTCCCTCGTATTGCATAGAGAATGCAATATTATTGCTAGTTCATCGCCTCAGTTGGAGGCTACCACGTAAATTTCTATTTACAGGTGTTTTTATTCAAACGCGATCTTGTACGAGCAACGTGTCTCATGTAGGTGCAACGAAATCTTCCCCTGTGACAGAAATTCAACGCATGTACAGTATTGAACTTGGTCCATCTGAAGCCAACCGGAGTTGACGGCCTGCCGGTAATTCTTCTTACGAGTCTCAATATGCGCGCGACCTC